CATTAAAGATGTTCTCAAAACTTTAATTTAAACAGTTATTCCTTAAATCCAGCTTTGTGCGACTCCAGAACATCAACATGCTAGCAGCTGAGGTAACATAGTTACTGTTGATTTCATGTTGTTATGATGATCATGTCATGATGACTTCACACATTATTTTAATCAGTGTAGCCACATTCATTCAATTAGATGATGGCCTTTTAGTGGCCAGTATTCACATAATAATTGACTAGTCGGGGGTTAAAGGTGAAAAGAGTACAGTACAGTAAAAGATCATTTTTAAAAAGATGTTTTTCTTTTTTTAACTAAAACATCTGAAATATTGAAAGCATCTTTCTGCATTTGTGTAATTCATATTTATTGGTGGTGACTTTCAACATTATGACTTTCAATGTTTACCATCATAGATTTGTTACATATTTTAACTGAATTTGATCAAGTCTTCTTCTGTTATATTTTTGTAAATGCAGCTGAAGGTTAAGAGACTCTCTAAGAACGAAACTCACTTCATTAGCTGCAAAGTGCTAATACTTGGTCTAGTTGTACTAGACCAGGGGTCTCAAACCTGTGGCCTGGGTGCCACTTGTGGCCCACTTCCCCCTACTTGCGGCCTGTATATTGATGTGAAGAAATATAATGCAATTTTTTCTAGGGAGGATTTGTTTGTTGTTGAGTGGAATGTTACTAATGCATACATTTGTGTTTGCATTTTTATTTTGTTAATTACAAACAAAATCATAGCAGAAGTGTTTCCACATATCTGGCCAGAAAGAGAGTACCAGTTTGTTTATTTAGTATTTCAATGAAAGGCTTCAGTTATTAAGAGTGAAAAAAATTACATTCACATTTGCTGTTTTGTCTTGTTATACAATATTTGAAATTTAAAACAAAAAAAATAAAACCCAAACAAAAAACAAAACGCTACATTTTCAGAAATATTTGTGGGTGTTTTCTCATTTGTTTGTTTGTTTTTTGTATTACTTGACCATGTCTTCATTCCTAAATGCCTAGAGTCGGTGCCATATGATTGGCGAATTAGATATTTGTCTTAACTAGCAACTCCCCTTATAAAGTGGCCAGTTAATGTATGTATGATAGAATAACTTTCTGTTACCTGTTACTTATATTCAGGTCACAATAAGACTTTGAAAACCAATAGTAACTCAGTTACAGGTGAACCAGTTATATAATACATGTACATTGTTTCATAGTTTGAATAAAGTAGGAATTATCTGTTTGAATCTGGGTGTAGGTTTTACTTGACACTTTTTAAGGTACACCTTCTTACTTGGTTGGACCCCCTTATGGTTTGAGAACTGCCTCCAGTCTTCATGGCATAGATTCAACAATAATGTCATACTGCATGCTGCAGACTTGTCAGCTGATGTGAACCTCCTGTTCAACCACATCTCAACGATGTTTTACTGGTGACTTTGGAGGCCAATGCACCTAACATCTGTAAGTGTAGTTCTCCTCTGTAGCTCAGACATTCGACTCAATGAAACCATCCAAAGAAGTGTCTAACTGTCATAAACAACAAACCTGAGCTGATCCACCAAAGAGTTGCTATAATGTGCTCTTTGCAACATTTTCTTTTTAATCTGATCAGTGACTGGTCAGTGTTGTACTTTATGATATTTGAACAAGAATCGGCATGACATCAGCCATAGCGGAGCGAATGTGGATTGTTCCACATTTGAAACATCACATGAGATTTCTTGTCGCGGTTTGTAGGACAGAGCATTTCTAACCAATGTCACGGGCCCCCTATCTGATGTGCCAGTGGTCAAATTAACGAATCCAATGCAATTAGTCATTCAATTTACTGTGAGATTCTGTGGCTGCTCTGAGTATGCCCCTCTTTCCCTGTCTCCCTCTCTCGATTTTCTCTAGTTTTCCATTATGGGATTTTCTGTTTATCTGTTGTGGTCTTGACTGTTCATTTCTGCTTCCCATGTCTTACTGTGTGTATTTGTGTGTGTGTTTCTTGTCTCAGGGCGAATGTGTGCACACAGAGAGGTAAGTGTTGTCGGTGTGTATACACCAACATCTCGGTCTGCTTGTGTATGTGTGCGCGGTGACTGTTCATGCCTCACTGTGGGACGCGTTGATTAGCGCTCACTGCGGCTCAGCTCCCAGCTGTCCTTGCGGCTGGTCGCTGATTGAAACCAATCAGGCTTGCGATGGCCCCATCGCAGTGACCCCCAACCCCTCCCACCCCCGGCCTAATCACCTGCTGATTGGCCCACGCAGGGCCCCCTCCCATTGGCACGAAAGGTTAATTTGACCGGCGGATGAAGGCTCCAGGAGGGAATAGGAACGTGCGCTGGGTGATATTGCATGGATATAGCCCACCTGTCAATCACAGCCACTTAAAGAGGAGCAGCAAGGGAAACACTGACAACTAGGGAGGAAGCAAGAAGCAGAAAGGAAAGGAAAGAAGGAGCGGTGATGTTGGCGTAGAAGAGCACCCACCTGCTAGTGATTAGCAGATGAAGTTGAGACAGAAACAATAAAGAGGAAGACAACAAGATACAGCTGAGTCCTCTGTAAGAAACCAGCAATGTGATTCAAACGAGAGTTTTTAGGTGAACTTTCATCTCCACTGCATCCTGTTTACATTCGGCTCTGATATTTCTGTGTTCTTTTTGCGCAAGTGACATAATTAATCACTTTTACACAAATGGCTCAAATATTGTATAGTCTGTGATAAGTATTTTGAAAGAGTGCCTATAAAATAACTATTTGAGATTAAATAACTATAGTATGTCTGAAAGAGTTGTCACCAAATTACTATAATATTAATCTTCTTTCCTTAAACTCATCAGGGCCAGCTCTGTTCTAGGACGCCCTCTGGACCCAGTGAGGTGGTGAGTGACAGGAGAATGGTGGCTAAGCTTTCATCCCTGTTGGACAACATCTCCTACCCCATGCAGGAGACTGACAGCACTGAGCAGCTCCTTCAGTGGCAGGCTGCGGCACCCACGATGTGGGACAGAGAGATTTTGCAGGTCTTTCCTCCCCACTGCTGTCAGACTCCACAACAAAGACTTTTGCAGCTGATCAAACACACAAACCACACATGTGCAATAAGACTAAGTGCAATACTCTTTTCTGACAAAGTTGTATTTTTACTCATTTGTATATAGCATTTGTATTCTATTTTTATCCTATTGTATATTTTATTCTATTTTATTCTACTGTATATAGTATTTTATTCTATTCTATTCTATTCTGTACAGTTGTGTACAGTATATTATTCTTATTGTATTCTAATTTTTGCTATATAACTTTGCACTGTCCACTTCCTGCTGTGACAAAACAAATTTCCCACGTGTGGGACTAATAAAGGTTATAATATCTTATCAGAGTCAATACACCTGAATATTTTGATATTCAGTCAGATTTGTTTTATAATTTGACAACCCTATCTTAATACATATACATAAACATACTGAGGCACTCTGACAAAAACAGGTTGGCCTGCCTAAGTTACAGTTATTTATTTATTTATTTTACAGTCAGTATATTGCATATACTCTTCATTGGAAATATTGTAGTGAATAGGTCTTTCCAGAGGGTGGCGGTGTTGTATTCATTCTGGATACTTGCATCCTGTCTAATAAATAATCTATTAGTGCTTTATGGCCATCTTCTTTATGTTGATGCTTTTAGGTCTGTTTCCCCTATTACATTACATTTGCATTATGCTCTCTCACATAACTCTCTGTCTGCCTGTATGTGTGTCTATGTAACTGTGTGTGTGTGTGTAATTATAAGTTTCTAGCATGATAGTTTATTCTTAACCTTTGCAGCTCAGCAAAAAAGTTAATTCCAAAACTTCCAGCTCCATCTCATGTGCTTTTTTAACAACAGCTTGAGCTTTTGGATTTGTCATCA